AACGTCCCAACGTACCAGTGGCTTACGCTGATGAGCTGGGACTCGAGGTTTGCAAACCATCAATATAGGGTTAGATTATGAATGGGTCATTGTAGTGTTTACATTTTTTTTAATTTGGGGGGTTGGCTTATGAATAAACAGGCTTGTGATCGAGTATATATGGTCGTCATTGTGAAAACATGATTTAATGCCTGTTTATCAATAATGAGAAGCTACCTGATAGTTGTCCCTTAACCTGGAAAAGTTTTGGGTTATCGCTTGATGTGTTTACTGTAAGACTTGGATTGGGCTAGGCTAAGCTCCATATTAATTTTTTTAAGTGTTTTTGGTTGGTTAGTCAGTACATTTCTGCAGTTGCATTGAGGCTGTAGCGTGACACCTAGCAGATTAGGGATATGCGTGAGGAGGCGATTCAAAGATATTGCAATGTGTCCAGCTTATGTATATAAGGCCACAGTCTATATTGACCTTGTATCATCACAGCCTTCTAAATGCAGTCCACTGTGTTGACCTTCATTACCACAGTTCATGGCCTTTGCCAATCAGCTCTGGCCTCCAGAGAATGCCTATAACTTGCACATCTGTATTACTGCTCCAGGTGGAGTGAATTTACTGTCACCAGAAACCCGCTCCTAGGGGTCCACAGCTGTGAATCTGCCCTTATATGCATAACCTGGACACATTGCTCTATCTTTGAACCTCCTCCTAATCTGTTAGGTGTTACATTACATTATGCACTCAGTATTTCCCTCTTCAATTACAGAGCCTCACTCATTATTTCATGTTCTGTTTAAGTATTTTGTATAGAAACAGAGCATAATGTAGAGAAAGACCATAAAGTTGGGAGACTTCTTAGTTGAACTTCTTTGTATACTGGTTCCTAATGCAGCGACATGTTATGTGGACTCAAGCTGAGGGTTTATAATGAAGGGAGAATTGTAGCTGTGTTTAAACTTTTAAAGAAAAGCTGGAATAGCTTGGAAGATAAAAGAATGCACGATCAAATATTTTTACATTTGATTTCAATACTGACCATTAGAAGATGTTGCTGATATGATCATCAGAAGAACTTTCCAGGTGAAAATAGCTGTTATGCTAGAGTAAAAAAAAAAATGCCACCTTTCAGATAATGTGCCGTAAAATACAGCCTATGGCTAAATCCTGCAGACCTTCCTCAGATAATTTTCTCATAAACTTCAATGTGCATCTTGTCTGACTGCAGGATTTGGCCTTATATTTTCCATTACCACACTGCCCTGCTCTTCCACTGCTTGTATACCTATTTATAATAATGAGCATGTGACAAAGGAATGGAAATGTGACAGTAGTCAAGACAGCAAAAAAGAAGCACCTGACACTAATCTGAATGTATAAATGTAGCTTGTGTCCATACTAAGGGGCAGCAGCTGTAAAATATAGTTGACCCGTACTTCAGCTTTGTTCTCCATTGGCAGGTGCCTGGATACTTTTCAGTCTGCTTTGGAACACGCAGTTTTAAAAAGAGCAGTATTTATCACCCAATTATGAATGCAAATTTTGCATGTGTTTGTGATTTATGAAGCCTTGCTTATGCCAAACAGGCTATAAACTCTATTTGAAAATGTATGGCCGTCTGCAGTAGATAATTACACTTTGAGAAAAGAGCCTCTGTTTCCAGTGAAAACACTGTAAAGTTATTTCAGAAATGTTCTGACCTCAGACATTTTACATAACTGACACAAAATGCTTTCACATTTGTGCAGCAGCTAGAGGCTTGATCTCTGCCTTCTCACACACGAAAGCACAGAAGGCTTCATTGGAAAAGGGCAAGATGCCCCTGCTGCAGCCTTCAAAATTAGCATTTTTAGCTCACTTGGTTCTTTGTATCTCTTCTCTGAACAAGAAGAAAGAATAGTTTTGGGGAAAACCAAAGCCTCTGCAACACTTACCCTCCTTTAAACAAACCAGGCCCCAAACTCTCACACCACCTCCACAAACTTCACTTTACTTCATACCAGCCTTTTAGGCAGCCTTTACCAGCCTAAATCATTATAGCCTCTCTCTTTCATCCCTCCTCGCTAACGCACATTAGTAAACTTTTCAGTAAAGCTTTGGGAGAATTTCTCCACATAAATGGAAAGATGTCAAAGGCTGAGGGTTGGAGATTTCCTTTTTAAAGTTCCCCGAACAATAGAAATGGTATTCTACAGACCTAGAGCTGTGTGAAAACAGCCGTAAAATATTACTTGAATATCCTTGCAATGAAACACCACTGACCTTTACCAGTATTTTAATTTGCAAGAAAATTGTGGAAAACAAAAACATGGTGAATAAAAGTACACATGTGTGTGAGAGTATTCGCACCAAAATTGCCCTGGGGGCTATTTTGAAAAGGATATTATTAGTTCATGCAATAGATTTGTGGAACATGTATGAATATGTATGGATAAGTTATGAGCAGAAAAGGGTATTCTTATTAATTATAAAACATCCAGTCAAGAGAAACAATAACACGTGACTTAGATAACTAGCCATCTTATGCAAAAAAAGAAATACTCCCAGAAACCAATTTGATCCGTCAGACAATTGTGAATAAGTAACTAATTCACAGAAATAGGAGATGTTTGTAGATAATCTGCAGAGAGAAAAGAGGGCAAAAATCATTGGACAAGCTATTTAAACAAATAATAGAAACAAGTTCTATTAAAATCATAGGTTGGATTCACATTCATGCCCCCAGGGCTCTAGTGTGTCTCCTGGGAAGAAAGTTGTGGTGGGGCAAATTGACTGCATCCTTAGCTGTGTCTGAATGAACTAATTACATACCTATGAGCCCAACACTGGTTGGCACTGGTTGGGAAGGGCTATAGTTGCAGCAGCAGTTTCTGCCAATGGTGTCTCTGTTGAAACCTGACTGTGAATTAACTGTTTTCCCCCACACCAACAGAAATCCCAAGAGAGGACAGTGGCAGTAAAATTCCCTGCCCCTCCTTAAGATGAATACCTTTGGGTGGCAGGAGGCCTCACTGGCACAGGGAGCATAATATACAGCTTTACTGAATCTTGTCCTTTAGCTGTAGTGCACAGCTGAGGGATTGTCAAAGGTCAGTTATAGGATTATTTTTTAAGATAATGGAATGTAACCCAGCAGATATTGTATTCTCGGATTAGTGGTCACCGTTATAAAGTCAGTGATTACCAACTATTACTACACACATGCTATACTCTCAGACACTAGTCTGCAATAACTATTGGCAGATGTTGATATATATCATTCTGAGAGCTTAAGCGAGATATATATTCACGTTTTAAAGCAGGCCTGCTGAAAATGTGCTGCATTACTATCTCTCTGAGTCACATCAGTGCAAGCATTTATGGGGTCAGTGGCTGACACAGAATGCAGAATCCTCTGTGCAGTTTTAAGTTTGGCATGTGAACCTCTACTCTGAGAAGAAGCCGTGGGAGATGTATGTTGACCAAATGGATTCACCTAGACAAATGTGCATTACAAGTGCATCTGTGCTTTACCTTCTTTTTTAAGCTTCAGGGGGGAGCTGTGTCCAGCCTCTCTGTGGTGACAAGGGGGAGAGGGTCACAACAACAGTCTTAGTATTCAGTTGAGATCAAGGGCTCCACTCCTCTAGTCATCCCAGGGCAGAAATGGAGAAGTAAGAAGGAGGCCCGGGCTTGATTCTACCCCTCCCATTGGTTCTTCCCTTCTGCACCAGCCAGAAGAGAGCGCCAACTACAGAGGTTAACATACATTGAGTCTCCTTGAAAGGTGTAGCAGCAGAGGCTCTCCTATAGGAAAACACACAGGAAACTGGCTAGCACAGGAATTTTTAAAGCTTTTTACAGCATCCAAAGTGACAGTATTTCATGGGCTACCCTTCTTCCCTTTGCAAGTCATGCGAACCACTTCCCCTCCTGTTTGTGCTCATGAAAGTCCTGGTAGCAGTTACACTGCTTACTTAGGTGGGTAAGTGGCATTAGGAAACTATTTAGTTACTTTTAACTATGGTGCTGGTGTTGCTGTTCTCTGGTAGTGGTGCTTGTTTCTTCTTCTTCTCTTGCTGTTTTCATGGCCCCTAAGGATCACAGCATGACTGCCTTGTCCTCTTTGTTTCCAGCTGCTCTTACCAATGCACAAACTCTCCTTTTCACCGAAATACCTGGGCACCTTCGAAAGGAGCTGGAAACATGTAGGCAGAGTCGGCACCATTTAATCTACCAGTTCTGTGCAGACTACCCGCAATTGATCCACAAACCACAGCTTGAGAACTGGGTCTAGAAAGCTGGTTCCAGACAGGTGCACAACACAAAGTTGGGAACTCGTTGGACAACAGAGAATAATGAAAGACTCGACAGTGCCACCCTATCAACACCACTACATCATTTTGTTTGTCTGGTGCTTTTAAAATAATTACCCTTCAATCTGAAAAGTCATTTTCAGCCTGAATTCTGAAAAAAAAAGCTCACTTTCCTCTACTGCATCACAGCATGCCAGTGGAAGGAACATGACTTACTATGCGCCTAGAATTCCTAATCTAATTTTCCTTTACTGTTTGAATTTCAGAAGGCTGCCAAAATACATGACAGATGTATAAAACTCTGAATTTATTAACTAGATGTGGTAAAAAAAAAGTTTTACTGTTTTAAAAAATGCTTATTACCAGATGTAGGGTGAAATCCTGGCTCTGTTGAAGTCAGTGGGAGTTTTGCTTTGCCATTTCACTTGCCACTGCCAGGATTTTGCTCCTCTTGTTTACTATTGTGAGCCTTCCTACTGCAGAGAGTGCGCACAATGCAACAAGAGTAACCACATGACACCTGCTAATAAATCTTTGCAGAGCCTTTCCCTAAAATACATGCTGCTTATGGAATGAGGACCGTGAGAAATCATAACATTAAGGCTAGGTCTCTGGATCATTTAGCTCTGCTTTTTATTGTGTCCCTCTAACTGGTCACTGAACGTCATTAGCATCAATAATTTGTCAATTCTTTTCTGTTTTATTTTGCAGGGCCCTCCTGGTCCAAAAGGCGAGAAGGTGAGTAGATGCATTGTCAACGGTTACAAAGTAAATGGAAACCCCTTCTGGTAATAACTGAACACGTAGTTTATACTGACACATATATGATACGAGATTATGTAAGAGAGTTGGGTAGCACACAGATGCTGTGTTAAAACTATCATCTCATCTTTCCACTTTGCAGGGAGATCAAGGTGATCAGGGCCCTCGGGTAAGCATCTTAAAAAAAATGTTACACTACCCCTTCCCTGAGTAGGCAATTAGTCCTTAGCGCAAAACTAAATTAAACAGTGTCTTAGCTAATCATGCTTATTAGCTGCATTTACCCTGCATGTTATAGTAAGTGTCTGCAGGACAGCAATACTAAATATAACCAAATAGTCTCTGAAAAGCATTTGAGTAAGAGTAGCCATACATACGTTACTGTCTATGAAAATATACATTTGCTGCTAGTGGAGGAAAATGCATTTGACAGTGATTTTGCTCTTCTGTGTAAGAGTTGGTTTGCCAGAGCAAACCTTCCAGTTTCCCCAGCCACCATTCAGACCTAGCATGGGCTCCCACAATGATGAGGGCAGGAGGGGTTTATAATATATGTGGTCCTGTATTTTCTCTTAAAATGCCCATTATTTAGAGAATTATAAAAACATGGCACATGCATGGGCTAGTTCTTGTGCTTTCATACATGTACTTCATAGAACAATGCTATTGTTTGTTAAACGTAGTATTTTTTCAAGCAGTTAGAAATAGAGCAAATTTTAGAGTGAGTAATGTAAACTTCACACATTCTTTGTAGGGTTATTTTAGTTTTTTACTATTGTGATCGTTTTAATTGCAGGAATACAATAGTGAACATATTGTTATGTTGGTAGTGCCAGTTCATTCTCTTTACATCTGTTCTTCATTATACAAATGCTTGGACATATTGTTCTAATGATGCAGCGGCTCAGTTCAGTTACATGTTTATGCATTTTCTCATGACAGTGTGTGCCAGGGCACGTTTTCTGTCAATTAGCTAATATATTTTAATTACACTATGAGTTAGAATCCTTTAAAGTCAAAACATATTTACTTGCCCATTTTATTGTGATGACAATAGTACTTAGAAGCCCCACTCAGGCCCCATAATGCTTGGTGATGTACTAACACATAGAAAGCAGCAGTTCCAGTCCAAATAGCTTAATATCTAATTTAAGACAAACAAGAGGAGGAAACAAACGAAAGGCAGGAGTGAGGAAGGAAGACAAGAGTAACAGTGAGAGCTGCACATTGTTACTGAGAATATGCACAATGTTTCTGAATCAGTTAAAGATTTTTTTAAATTATAAAATGGAAGTAGCTGAAATAAATCTCAGAAATCCTCACTGGCCAGCTCATTGAGTTGGCTGTTTGCTGAAGGCGTCTTGGCGAAAGTGAATCGATGAGTAGGGATTTGGAGCAGTGCAGAGGAAACATCTCTATACTACTTTGGAGAGGCTTTGTTTGTATGAGGTATAGCACAGAAGACAGTGGATATATTCCGGTGGGACAAGTGAACATACAGGTAGTCAAGCCTGGCAGTCAAGCCTGTTAAGAAAATCAACAGTGTCAGGGAACATCTTAGTAAGGCCCAAAAGAGAAATGGATGGAAGGGCAGAGTTTAGAAGGCCTTAAAAAGATGAGTACAAGGATCTTGAATTTGATGTGGTGGAGAAGTTGTCAATGGAGGAATTCAAAGGAAGGTTATCATGGCCAGAACAACAGGTTGGAGAGAGGCTAGGGAAAAAGGGATTGTAGGAATTAAATAAACCAAGAGGCCATCAGGGCCTGGATGAGAGCTCTAGCATGATGGAAAGAGAGAAAACATTGGTGCTGGAAAATTCTGTTCAGTAAAAAATGAAAAGATGTTTGAGTGTGGCAGCATAGAGGGCAGAGTCAAAGATGGCTCCCAGGTCATCGGAGAATGGAGGTGGTGTTAAAGCGTACTGGGATTGAGAGGACTGAAGAGAGTGGAGAAAAGGGCCCAGATTCTGCAGTCTGGCACAAATCCAGAATGAGAAAAGGAGGAGAAAGTGGCCATTGCTGCAGCTCTTCAGTCCTGAGGCTAACAAGACTAGCTAGACTTTAGACTAGCATAGTGCAAATAGAAAGAACAGAAGAATCAGATTCAAGTTCAACCGCAGATGTGTTAAGTTTAAGTTGACAGACAACCTGCAGGAGATGTCAGAGAGACTGGCTGAGATGCAGAGCTGGATGGTAAAAACAAGTTAGGAGTGGAGATGCAGAGTTGGGAAGACAGTATGCTGTAGGATTGATTATGCGTCATCAGAGGCTAAATCGGTTTACACTGTATTGAAGGGTTTCATTAAGAAGTTTGTAAATTTTTGAGTAATTTACAGAGTCTCCTCTCTCATGTTCTTTATCTTTCTCAGAATGAGTTTGGATATTCTTTACAGTAGCCTTTCCTTCTTTTTCCTCAGGTATTTCAAGTGTAAATGTTAGGAGGCTATCTTACTATTTTACCTTTCATACTGTAATAGTCATCTTTTCTGATTACTGTCTTCAGGATGCATATGCTCAATTTATGCCTGAGGATTAGACACTATGCTACGTCTACACTGGCCCCTTCTCCGGAAGAGGCATGCTAATTTCAAACTTTGGAATAGGGAAATCCACGGGGGATTTAAATATCTCCGCGGGATTTAAATAAACATGTCCGCCGCTTTTTTTCCAGCTTGGGGAAAAGCCGGAAAAGAGCGTCCAGACTGGTGCGAACCTCCGGAATAAAGCCCTTTTCCGGAGGATCTCTTATTCCTACTTTTCAAGTAGGAATAAGAGATCCTCCGGAAAAGGGCTTTATTCCGGAGGATCACGCCAGTCTGGACGCTCTTTTCCGGCTTTTCCCCAAGCTGGAAAAAAAGCGGCGGACTTGTTTATTTAAATCCCGCGGGGGATATTTAAATACCCCGCGGATTTCCCTATTCCAAAGTTCGAAATTAGCATGCCTCTTCTGGAGAAGGGGCCAGTGTAGACGTAGCCTATGTTTTTAATAGAAGTTCTTGGTGTAAATCCATCATGCACCACCCACTTGTTCCTTGCTTGGTTACTTTTCAGTATGTTTTGCATAATTGTGGTAGGTGACCCTCGGATGTTTCTATTTTTCCCAAAAGCATTCTGCCTGGAAGTGATACTGGAATGACATCAACATTTACATTCAAAAACCCCTGCAAATAGACTGGTTATTGTACCTGAAAGTCCCAGACACTTTGAAACTAGCTCAGTTTTTAGAGATATGGAGCCTGCGGTTTCTTTGTTCTATAAGACATTTTTCACAGATGCTTTTGAAACTTGTTGATAGAGAAGGTTTTACTGCTTCAAGCCAATTTTAAGTCTTTGAAAATTCAAAAGAGCCCCTTAAGCCTTTATTACAGCCACCTTCTTCTTTTAGGCACTTTCATTAGTAAAAGAAACCAAAGAGTGGAGATTTGCCAGGGTCAAAATGAGACTCTGAAGCTTGCAAAATCCCCAGTGAAATGAAGAGGAAGATGCAGATCATCATCTTCTCTTCATCACTTATGCCTGTGACAAGAACATCTTGCTTACCGCCCTCAGACACATCCCTTTGTCAGTTTTCCTGTTGTGATTTTAAAAATTTAAAGATGGTGCTTGCTTAAATCACTCTGAAACTATTGGGACAGGGGAATTAAATACAGTATTTCAGAGTTGCAGAAGTTCCCCTTACTTTCTTTGCACACACAACAGAGTGCACAAGGTATACATACTTACTGGTTTGAAAATAAGGCCCTGTGTAGCACATCTCTATTTGAGAGGTACAAACTAAGAGGTATTGCAAAAGAGGTTCAGAGACTTACAGTTTTCATGGAGTTTGGGGTATTTTTTCAGGTTGTATTTTTTTTAAGGACTAATATTTGTGAAGAGTTGGATTTTTCAAAAGTGCTCAGCGTTGTCCTGCCTCATTCACTCCAGTGAGACCAAAGATATGCCAGGATTGAGCACTTTAGAAAGTCTGATCTACCTTAACTGTTTGGTCTTAGTAAGTTTGTTTTCTGTACATTTGTACCTCACTTCTTATTAATTTGTTACTCATTTAAAACAATTCTCACTGAACCAGATTTTTGATCAGCTGCAGAATTAGAATTTCTCTGAGTGCAAGAGGTTCACTGTTCGCTCTTCTGAATCAGTTTCCATTTTGCAAAGGGTGCCTGTTTCACAACACGTTTGTAGAGGTCTACATTGCTGTGTAGTGAGCCAGGACATGGAAAATTAAAATTGATGTGTGTTAACCCATGGGCTATTAGAATATGTGCTGATACTGAGCCACTGCTCCATTCCAGTGGCTCTGCTCCACTTCAGTTTAAAACTATTGGATTAGAGCCTAGCAAAGCCTGTGAAGATTTCATAATGATTTTTACTTAAGGAACATTGCTCTCTTTAGATAGCAAAGGATTTATTGTCCAAGCAGAGGTAGAAGCCTAATTAATGAAAATAGACTTTAAGAGGCGAATGTGCAGAGGTTAATCAGCTATCAGCACAGTATCTTAATCAGTCTGCTATCATCTTCCCACAAATGACATAATAAACAGCTTCTGTCATTCACTTCTGATACGTGAGAGATTTATTGTTTATCAGGACTAAAAATCATAAGCCAGCAGCTGGTTCTAAATTAGTTTTGGGAGCTAGGTGCAATAACAAGCCACCCAGGAGCCATACATAACAACTTTCCTAACATTATTTTCTCCTCGTGGTGTGTTCAAGTGAATTTTTCCAACAGCTGGGTCTATACAAAACTGATAGCATCTTAAAAATGTCTTCAGCAGCAGAGATTAAGTTCCAGAAAAGGAAGGCATTCAGAAGTTTATTTTATTATCTTAACCTTTGTTGACTTGAATGATTAAACAGATTCTTTTGCTCTGTTAAAACAGTTAGGCCCAGATAGTAATGCAGTGTTCTTATTTGCTTAACCCTTGCCTTTGCTTTTAATGAATTTGTTGCATATTTACTGCTGTATGTATTGCTTAGGAAAAAGAAATAGCTGTGTTGCAATTGATGCTTTGCAGGTTAGAATCACAGAATACTAGAACTGGAAGGGACCTCAAGAGATCATTCTGCACTAGAGTATGGGAAAATTATTCTAATTTCTTCCAGTATGGATGAAAGTTGTCATGATGACAGCAAGCTCATTAAAATTAAAAAGTGTCCTGATTGCATGTT